ATTTAGGGTGAAGATGAAGACAAGCGTCATATGACTACGGTAGCATAGCATAAAAAACATGTATATTACTTTTAAGAACTATTTTATTGAATATATTTTTTATATGGTATCTCAACATGTTTCGAAAAAAAACAAAGAGAAAAAGTAAAAAACTATGAACAATGAATTATTTAAAGGTTAGAGGTAGTCTCCTCATCGAAAATCCGATTTTCAAAATCGGCTCAATCTCCAGATTCCATCAATAAGCACTGGACCTGGTGCATCAACAAGTACACGTGGTACTGGTACTGATACTAGACGTGGTACTGGTACTGGACGTGGTACTTGTCGCTGACAAGACCCTAAAGAAAAGTCTACTTTGAATTGAACAAAATGGTCCAACTTTCTTCTCTCTTCTCTTTGCTTACGTAATCGTTGTATTCTAGCCGCTGACGCTCTTTTCAGCTTCTCCTGCCGTCATCGTTCTTCTTCTTTTTTCTCCTCTCGCTCCTAAAATATTATGAAGTAGTGTGAAGATACCGGTTAGTATCATATTAGCAAAAATAACTAAACCGCTCTGAAACTTACTAGACGAAGTAACCATTCTTCTCTAGCCCGTGAACTTTGTTGTCGCATTTCTTCAGCAATAACTGGATCCCCGGTCCATTTTTTCTCTTCCTCTTCCCTCCGCATTTGTTCTTTTGTGATTAAATAACACCGAGGAGTTTGTTTCAGTTTCCAGTCTAAACAAGGTTTTCATTGAATGAGTCTGTAACGGTTTTTAGTATATCGAGCAGGTTGAATGTATTTTGGAGCCATCAGTCCTTTTTATTTTAAAAACCAATGATGTGTACACTAATGATACAACCAAATGTCTGTCTTCTTCTTTTATCCTAGTTCAACTCCTGTTTCTACATCTCGATGAATCAGAAAACATAAAAGAAATCACTGCATCAGAAAAAAAAAGTGAATGCTACTTATATAATGATCTCTGAGAGGGTGGGTATAATAAAATGAAACAAAAAACAATTAGAAGAGAAAACAATGAGACGTCAATGGGAAGAACGGCAATATTCTTCGCATTGTGAATACTTCCGGTTTCACTCACCAACCAATTGTGTTATTTTACCGCCTGGATAAATTAAGTCATGTATCATTTCGAAGATTAAGGAATTAAAGTAACGCTGCGATCTGAAATAAAAAGCATAATTTTCACAGTTTTCTTTAGTAGTGAATTGTAATACTTTTAATTAGATTACTATTGTTTAGATTTGTATAGCAAAAATAGCTGGTTAGACGATTCGATTCAATTCAATTCAATTTTATTTTAACTGAGTGATGTTAAATGACAGTCCTAAAAGTTGCCTAATAACCTTGACTACGTCACACCATGAAATTAAGTTTGAAGAAAAAAGTAAACAATAAAACAAAAGGAAAAACAGAGAACAAAATGGCTTATGATTACTGATATTACAACTGTAGATGTTTACGCAAGGCACGTTTGAAAGCTCGAATTGAGAATTCCGAGATTACCTCTCTAGGCAATACGTTCCACTGGGAAATTGTTTTAGGTAGAAAAGAGGAATTTGTGTT